CAAGATCACACAGGGAGCCTATGACAGAATTTTAAATAAAACCTGATTCCTAGTCCTATGCTTTAATAGCATATCAGGAAAGATAGCTCTGCTACTTGCGTAACAATACCACATCACCTTTGGGAAAAAAAAATGAAGTGTCAGACAAAGTTGCATTAAAAGGCCACTAGTAATTTCTGAATCCTACATTAAACATGAATAAAATGTTTACTCTAACACAGAGGTTCTCATAATGACAGAAATACACAAAGACTTCTAAAAAAGCCTTCAGGCAGCAAGTACCAATGGGAAAAATTCTCCACTCAGATCTACAGAGAATCTCAATTCTGATATTCCAGGCATGTAGGGAGATTAGACTATTCAAGACAAAATCTGCTGTACAGACCTCAAAAGGAAAACTTGTCCCCCCCATGATGAAACAGTGGGAGAGCATAAAATTCATTAGTAATAAAATCTTTCCTCTAGGGAATGACATGGAACCTTCTCCCTCACCCCTCTACATATACAGAATTTCCAGCCATTTTTTCTTGCATATAGATAAAGGGCATTTTCTATGTTGATTAAGGAGGATGGTACAGACACTTTTGGATGTGTATATAAGTGCTAATAAAAGTTTAAATACCAGAAGATAAAAATCTTTATAAATCAACAAACAATGCACCCTGCCACTAGAATGTATACACAGACAGACTTTCCTAAACATGAATTCCTACACAGAAACACTGTCTATGGTCTGATCCTACAAACACTTATGCACATGACTTTACATGTAGGAATACCTCCACTGAACTGGATGGGGTTTACATGTCTAAGCACAAAATCAGGAACTGTGTGCACCATACAATACTTATTGTGCAAGAAGGTGAATCATCAAATTAAATATTGTAGATTAACATTTATGATTAGTGACTCAGAAGCCACTTGATATCTCGACACAGACTTGCTATCCAACAAAAATGTTTGGCTTAGGCTTGCCACAGTCTTAAATTTTTATTTTAAAAAAGCATCATGCTATTTTGAAGCACTGGGTTTTGGTTCTGCATACTGCAAGACAGAATGTAATAAAGTACTGCACTATTAGATCTTATAACACACAGGATTTCTAGTCACCTATTGTTGCCAGCCACTTTCATGTTGTGGAGAAAAAAAAAGGTACCATTTAAAAGTTCAGCAGCTTTTTTCACTACAATAATCAAATACTCAAACTCTCTGGCAGTTTACCATTTTAACAGTAACGTATAATGAAGTAATATTTCAAATCACAATAGGCTTCACATCTGGTGAGCACAAGTTTGGCAAATCCAGGTCAATCCCTGTCATACTGACCACCTCTCTCTACATGATGGACCCAAATACACCTAATGAACAAGTCTTTATCTGTTTACAATTTGTTCTGTTAAATGAACATCTCCATACAACTTTTAAAACTCCGTACCTTCTTTAACAGACTGCTGTGTGAACTCTACATTCATAGGTGAAGTAACTCCCTGTGATGATCTTCTCTAAATTTCTTTGTGCTGTTGCTGGCATTTTAACTGATTTTAGGGTTGGTATTTTTAAATGATGCAAATGAAACTTCTATACAGCCTTACTTCTCCAGTGAATATTCTGCAGAAACTGAAGTTAGAATCTGCAATTCCATTAGCAAAGATACAACTACAACAACAAGAGCTATTAAACAATCATTTAGGATATAAACTAATCCTCAGATGAGGATTTCTTCCTGAACCCAACAGTAAACTAATTGCATAATTAGGGACATTAAGAGACAGGAGAGGAAATGTCATTTATTTAGGCCATGTCTGCACTGCCACTTGGGCAAAGCCTATGTCACTCAGGGATGTGAAAAAACACCCCCATGATCGACAGTTTTACCAGCATAAACACTCAGGTGCACAGCGCGATGTCGGCACTTCTCTCGTTGACATACCTACTGCCGCTCTTTTCACAGTTTTATTATGTCTACGGAAAACCTCTCTCCTGTCAGCATAACATGGCTATGCAAGCGATTTTACAGCAGTGGAGCTGTGCCACTGTAGGTTCACTAGTATAGATACAGTCTTTGCCTAGAGGATCCAACATGGCAAGAGACAGGATACTTACTACAAACCGGTTTCAGAGGAACAGCCATGTTAGTCTGTATTCGCAAAAAGAAAAGGAGGACTTGTGGCACCTTAGAGACTAACCAATTTATTTGAGCATGAGCTTTAAAGCTCATGCTCAAATAAATTGGTTAGTCTCTAAGGTGCCACAAGTCCTCCTTTTCTTTTTACTACAAACCATTTCTGAAATGAAACTCTCGTGTTCCTAAACCTTCAGACCGTGTTCTGTAGAACAATTACTAAGAGAATTCTCAAGAAAATGTAGCATTAAAAGAGATCTTATCTTGAATTAAAGTATTAGGATACTGTAAAGGGAACAGAGGAACTGAAAGAATTAAGTTTGATTTCTGAAGCAATATGTGGAAAGAGCTGCTTGCCTAACTCAAAAAGCCTGGGCATAATACCCAGCAGAAACTGTTCATCTGTGTGCAATGTGACCCTAGTGGTCATGTATTCCCTTCCCCTATGCTCCCATCTCCCCAACAAGACTAAAATGGGGGGGGGGGTTTGCTTTTAAACTGGAAAAAAGAATTTAGCAGTTGCTTCACTAGTCTGTGAATACTGCTGACCTATAAAAAAAAATATACCCTTCTAAGAAAAAAATAAGCTGAAGTTGTTGGTAACGTGAAAACAACAGCAAAACATATTTCACACACTAGCAAACCATTTTTGTTCCTCATTTATTATGCGGAGCTTCCAAGAATATTAAATATTTGTATTTTTTCCCTACATCTAAGGTAGAACTACAACATTGGTAAACACACTTCAACAATTCACCTAAAACTATGCAGATGTTACCCTTTAAATATTTAAAATATTTAAATACAATTTGAAACATTCATCTGTTACAAATGGTACTCAACGAACTGGCAAGAGAAAGGATAAGAGAAAAAACAAGGAAAATACCGAACAATGGCTTTTATGAATACTTCACTGCTACTTCTGGAATACTGCTGGTGCTATTACTAAACAATACTAAAGTGTTTCTGACCATAATATCCATAGCCTACTGACCGAAGAAGTTCATAGAAGCTAATCTGTTTTCTAAATAGCAAAAGCATTCCTTTCAATAAAAAGAGCGGCTGATACAGAACAAAAGACGTCCACAGGAAATGTTATCTATAAAGTTGTCTCCTAATCCAAGACAAATAGACCTGAAGGAACAGGAAAACGACCATGCACTAGTAACAGGTTTCAGAGTAACAGCCGTGTTAGTCTGTATCCGCAAAAAGAAAAGGAGTACTTGTGGCACCTTAGAGACTAACCAATTTATTTAAGCAGAAGCTTTCGTGAGCTACAGCTCACTTCATCGGATACATACTGTGGAAAGTGTAGAAGATCTTTTTACATACACACAAAGAATGAAAAAATACCTCCTTCCACCCCACTCTCCTGCTGGTAATAGCTTATCTAAGTTTCTTTTTCCTGAGCCTCTGACAACATCCCCTTGTCCGATTGGTTGTGTGCCCTTTTCAAGCTACAAGGGATGGCATTCCTCCTTCACTTAACACCATCGAACTGTGTGCGTTGAGGGGGCAGGAAGCAAATGTGGAGGGGGGGGGGTGGGACAGAAGAGAGGCAAGAGGAAGGAAAGGTTTCAGAGTAACAGCCGTGTTAGGAAGGAAAGAAACAGAGATCCAAAATCCCACAATCATTACTAAGGCATTACAGGGCACTATACTGCCTGCAGGCTGCAATAGTATCCTCCCTTTCCCTATGTCATGGAGATTCCTAGACATTACAGACAGACACACACATACAGATCCTTTCTAGGAGCGATGGCTTTGATTTATGTCCATAATACCAGAAACAAGCGGGCTCTATCAGACACCAGGGAGTTGTCTCCCAAAATGCCCTCCATTGCATCTCCTCGCTTTCTCCACAGAAACGCAACTCCAAATAAAGGAATAACAGCAAGATTTGAATAACTATCTCAAAATATTTTAAGAGACGTGACGAATTACCCCAGGCGCCGCAACACCCACCGAAACGCGTCTCTGCGCCAGACAGACCCATTCACACCAGCCCCGCACAGGAACGCCGGCCCCGGCGGCGGCGGCGGCTGCAGGGCCCCCGGCGCCCCCAGCACACGCCCAGCTCACCCAGGGTCTCCCCGCTCAGCCTCGCTGGGCAGCCAGGTGTGTGGGCCACCGGCACACCCCAGAGACAGCGGCCAACCCCTGCCCCGCAGCGCCGCCCCGCGCGCACCGCATCCTCAGAGCCACACGCAGGGACCCGGCCGCTTCCCGACACGCTGGCTCCCGGGGCCAGCGCCGCTCCGGCTCCGGCTTCCCAGCGCCGCCGACAGCGCCGGGCTGCTCCGGGTGGCCGGGGGCGGCAGGGCAGCGCCGACGGGGGGCCGGGACCGGGCGGGGAGCGCAGACGGGCGGGGGCGGGAGCGGGGCAGGGACAAAACCCGGGAAGGGAGGGGACAGCAGAAGGGGCCGGGCACGGACACGGACAGACAAGGCGGGAGGAGCTCGGACGGACGGAGCCGGGGTGAGGGAGGCAGGAGACGGGCCGGCCGGCGGGGCTCCGGGCTAAGGCGGCAGGAGCCCCGGTCCCCCAGCCCCGCTCGCTCTCTCCTTGCCAGGGTGACCCTTCGCCGGGCCCCGGCCGCGCCGCCCCCTCACCTCATATCTGTGGGGGCCGGGGGGCCCTGGTCAGATCCACAGCGAAGGCGGGGGGCGGTGGAGGAGCCGGAGCGGCCACCGCCTCCGCGATACACACCATCCCCTCCCGCTGCCTCCTCCTGAGCCACCCTCTCGGGGCGGGCGGGGGGAGGGGGGAAGCGTGTCACCCTCACAGCCACCGTACTACGGCGCAACCGACCTACTCCCCTCGGCGCTCCCCAGTTGCAACGCGCCCCGCTAGGAAGATTGACGCAAATACTGACCAATCGTAATGCGAAGATTGACACCAAGACAAAGGCAACCTGAGCGAGAGGGCAGAGCGACCAATCATAAATAAACCACGCCCCCCTCGCACTAGCAGGTTCGTGTGTACAGGACACAGGGTTGTATGACCTCCCCCCCACTAACAGAGCTAGTGGGGATCCCTCTTTTTGTTTAGAGGATAAATTAGGGGACCAATCAGACGCGCTCCCAGGGGAGAGGGGGTGGGGCAATAGTGGGCGGGGTTGTGTCAATTTGCATGAACGGAATCATAAAAGGCGGTGCTTGGGCTTTAATTCACAGACATGTCCCCGCGCTCGCGCCGCAGTGTCAGCACCTTCGAGCAGCACGCCGACAACTGGGGGAGCGTTGCATGCTGGGAGTTGTAGTCCGATCAGAGCCGTAAGGCCTGCTGGGAATCGTGGTCTCCGCGGATCCTGTCGAGGTGCCGTGGATACGGCTCGCGGTGTGGCCCCGCCCCGTTCACCTCGAGTGACCAATCGCGAGTCTCTCCTGCTGACCAGTCTCGGGGTGTCCGCGGCCGCGAGGGTGAGAGGGCGGGGCTTGCGCAGCGGTCCTTGCGGGAGCGGGGGCTCCGGAGGTGAGAGCGGCGGAAGTCATTCACGGTTTGCCATGGCAACTGGGGGCTGCCTCGGGCCTGGGGTTGGGGCGTCGCTGCCCCAGGCGGGGAGCGGGATACGCACCGGCCCGGTCTGTGACACCACCTCCCCCCCTTCCCCCCGCGGCGCCAGCCCTCCCCCTCCCCGCTCTTGCTCTTGCTCGCGTCCCTGTTTTGTTGAGACCCGGCATCGCCCCACCACGTTAAAAAATCCTGACTCGGACCCGCCCCAATCAGGGGATGGGCTTAGCCCCCCCCCCCCCGCAGTTCTAGACGGCAGCAAACACCGGGGGGTTTCCGGGCCGTCAGTGTCCCTGTTTTCTGGCCTTTCCTTGGGGGCTGCGAACGGTTGGGAATTTACTTAAAATACAAAACAAAAGCGGAGGCTGAGAGGCGGCTGTAATCCCCTGATTGCAGGAGCTCTAAGAAAGACCCCAGGTGTCACCAGAGCCGCAGCACCGCGGCCGAGCGGTGTCCCTTAAACCAGGAAGCGCAACGCCCCTGAAAATCCAGCTTTAATAATAAAGGTAACCTAACACTCTGAAATTGGTATGATTTGACAGTATTTATCATTAAATCCCTGCACTGATTAAGGGTCTTATCTTGGGAATAGTAGTACACTTAAATAACTGTACATATGAGGAGTCCCATTGAGTTTAATGCCTTTTTTTTTAACTTGCGTGAAGATGTTTGTGATTTCACTGGGGGGCTCTGCACAAGCGCAGCAGAATTCCTGTTTGCAATGAATTGTGGAATTGGGGCAGTTGTGTATAGTCTGAAAAAATATGTGCTTATCATGAATAATTCTCCCAAACATGAGAGGGTCATTCCTTCTGACATGTAGGATCCAGTCTGTGCGAGAGAAAAAGAAATCTTTGTCCTAGGTTTCTCCCCTCCTTGTAGGGTGTCCAGACAGCAAACGTGAAAAATCGGGACAGGGGGTGGGGGGGTAATAGGAGCCTAAATAAGAAAAAGACCCAAAAATCAGGATTGTTAATATAAAATTGGGACATCGGTCACCCTACCTCCTTTCCACGCAAGACAACACATTTCACCAAAAGAATGCAAAACCTTTCACCTGTTCAATCAAGGTAAAAGGCATTGCAGTGCATCTGTGCTATGAAAGAGGTTGTAGTTAGGTCAGTCAGTACACACTGACCTCACTTCAACCCATATTTCTAGTATAGGCAAGCTTGATGTTTTCATATCTTGCACTAGTACTGTTGTTGTGTACATTGTATTTGTCCGATTTAGAAACTGATCCTGCACCCATTGAATTCAGCAGCAAACTTACCATTAACTTCATTGGGAGTAGGGTTATTTTCTAATCCTCCTGTGTATCTTAAACTTTTGCTCTAGATGAACAAAAATGCTTGTAGTCTTTGCTACTAAATCAATTTACAAGTGCTACATATATTAAAATTTGGTTATTTTAGATTCCTCTGTATGTTATTTCAGGTCACTATGAAGGCTCTGTATTGTCAGCAGAATTCATCTGGAGAGGAAATTATATTTGTCTTCCAGGAAAGGGTGAGTTCAGATTACAGAAGAACTGTTAATCATGTGCTGAGAGAAGGGAATATGTTCCTATGTGGATCAATTATTAAGCATCTTTCATCCTTTTTGCTTTCTCACAGCTATGTTCTCATATCTGCATGTAAAACTATCCAAGTGTCAAAATGAAACTATTTATTTTAGATAGGAATCGTCAATCTACTGCATTGGGTTAGTAGTGGCAAACTATATTAGCTGAGGCACCTGGATAGAGGGATGGTTGTAGTGTAAATAAAAATTTAAAAAAGTAACTAACAACATACACTGTTTTGCTTTTATATTATTTGTCTGCTTGCCCATTTAGCCCACATTCTGACAAGCTTAAAATCTATCTCTGTATATGTTTGTACGGCACCTATTACAGTGGAGTGCCGGTCCTGACTGGGGTCTTTAAACACTATTATAATTAAATAATCATTTTAAAAAGTAAAACTTCTGTGGGAAAGGAAAGCCAGTCTCCATCAAAACAGACCACCAACTAGTGAGGATATGTTGGGGGAGCATAGAGGAATGTCAGGAGAAGTGGTGGATTAGCCACTGGGCTGATGGGGGCCCGTACCTGGGACCCCCAGAAAAAATCTGCCTCTGAGTGGTGGAAGCCTGGAGCCCCGGCGCTGCAACCTCGCTCCCCAGCAGGAGCACCAGGCAGGGCAGTGGAAACCCCCGTGCCCTGACCCTGCTCCCCAGCAGCAGCGCTGGGTGGGTGCAGCAGGAGAAACCCCCAGAAACCTCCTGGATCCCAACTCTGGCAGAAGCCGCAGGGCAGCAGAGGAAGCCCCCAGCACCCCCCAACTCTGTCCCCAGCAGAAGCTGCAGGGCAATCCCCCGTCCCGACTCTGCTCTCTGGCAGAAGTGTGGGGCAGGTGGGGTGGGAGAAGCCCCAGTGCCCCGACCCTGGTCCCCTGCAGAAGCGTGGGGGATGGCGGGGAAGGCCCAGGACTGGAGGAGCTCTTGCTACCTGCCATGGCCTCAGGGTTGGGGGAGCTCTCATTGTCCTCTGTAGCTCCAGGGACAGAGCTGCTCCAGTCTTGGGGGCACAGTGGTGTTGGAGGCAGAAAGGAGCAAACACGTTGGGAGGCTGCGGGGGGGGGCAAAATGGGGGAGGGTCCCTGGGTGGAACGGGGCCATGCCTGGGGAATGGGCAGAAAGGGGTGGGGCCGTGGCCGGGGCCACAGGCGGAAGGGGTGAAAGGCCACCATTGGCCTTCACCCCATGATCTTGTTGTCTCCAAATAATGAGGAAGAGCGCCATGATCCGAGTCCCCACAGAGGCATACACCACCTCATCTGTTTCTTGCTCTTATGAGAGTGTTATGTTTTATAAATCTCTCTTAAAAACTACATTGTTTGTATTGTGGTAGTGACTAGAGGCCCCAGTTAGGAATAAGGGCCCCATTGGGCTAGGCACACCTAACTGAAGGACAGTCCCTGCCCCAAAAGCTTACAGGCTAAGTTTAGTGTATTTTTATATGTAAATTTGCTTTATTTGGAAACCCTTTGGCTTCAGAAAAAGTTATAATCTAACTCAGTTAAACATTCATCTTTTTTGAATGGTTTTGTGGCTTAGCAGTAGCTCTCTGCACATCGGAGAGGGAGAACCCGGTTTGGTTGTTGAGCTGGCATCTTCCTCCCCCAGATTAGCAAAAAGCCTTGCAACCTGGAGCTGTGGGATGATCTTGAGTAACTAAGCAAGAGCCAGAGAAAGTTCAGCTCAGTCTTCCTCAGAAAAAAAAGTTGGAGGTCAGTCTAATTGATAAGCCCAGGGGAAAAGTTAAAGCAAAAAACATTTTAAGGAAAATTTAAACACTCTCTAATGCAGGGATCGGCAACCTTTGGCATGCGGCCCGTCACGGAAATCCGCTGGCGGGCCGGGCCGGTTTGTTTACCTGCAGCATCCGCAGGTTTGGCCGATCACAGTTCCCACTGGCCATGGTTTGCTGTTCTAGACCAATGGGAGCTGCAGGAAGCACATTCCTCAGCCCACACCGCTTCCCGCGCCCCCTTTCGCCAGTGGGAGCTGTGATTGGCCAAACCTGCGGACGTTGCAGGTAAACTAACCGTCCTGGCCCACCAGCGGATTTCCGTGATGGGCTGCGTGCCAAAAGTTGCCAATCCATGCTCTAGTGAAATCCTAGGCCTAATGAAGGCAATGGCAAAACTCCTGTTGACTTCAATGGGACCAGAATTTCACTTCCAATCTGAGGTGCTAAGGAGGACATCCAGGGTGGAATGTGATGGTAGGGGATGAACCTTTTAAACAAATGAACTTTTCCTGTTTTAATATATGGTGACTATCCTTTGTGGAGCCTAAAATTGTAATCCTTAATCATGCAGATATTTCCTTTGACTTTAGTTGGGCTACTTGCATGTGACTACTCTCATGATTAAGTGAGGCAGGACTGGGCCTAACACTTGAGTCTTAAAAAATTCTAGTCTTAAGATTCTCCCCATCTACTTCAAAATAGTTCTATTTTGCTTGCTTTTTCTTTAGCTTACATTAGCAGATGTAAAGGAATAGCATGCAGGTTTGTAAAGTTAGCTGGCAAAACATTTTTTCCCTGTTATCTTAGTAGTGAGGTTTAGTAAGGTGGTATTATGTTCATAACACAAAAGTACACAATTAAAATCTGATGATATACAGTATGTAAATCCATTATGGTCTCTAGTTTCCTATTTTCCTTTGATATGACAGACTTTTCCTGACTTTTCTGAACTATTTTATAGTCAGGATATTGGACTCATTGGATATAAATGTTCCCAAGATCTTGCGATCATCCTGTTAGCACATTCTTGTTGTATTACAGACAATAATGTCTGTAAATTTATCCTAGGAAAATCTTCCTGTTGCAAGAGACAATGATGTGAAAATACAGGTTAAAGCCTGTGCTCTGAGCTGGACAGATATAAAGGTATTTGTTTAACTTTTATAAGGACATGGGGAATTTACTTTTTCTATCTGAAAACTATAAGCCAGATCATCAGCTGATGTAATGGCACTATGCTGATTTACACCAGCTGAGGTTGTGGCCATATTTTAGTTCATTGTTGTGGTTGATCTGCTTCAGGTGTTTAAAAGGTACCTGTAATTTGGCCCCTAATTTTTTTGGGAAGAATCAACTTGTTGGTTCTAAATTGTATAAAGTAATAAAATCATCGCTTCTCTTCTGGGTGATGATTCTGTACGCCTCTAGGTGGTCTGACAGCTATAATGACTGTTTGTATATTGCTTTGTGTATAGGATCTAAACCAACTATGTCAGCAAAGGTTGGATCAGACTCACAAACAATAATGTAACCTGAATGTGAAAAATCTTACTAAAACCCAAATAGGAGCCTAAATTAATATACACCTCTACCACGATATAACGCAATCCGATATAACACGAATTCAGATATAACGTGGTAAAGCATTTTCCCTCCTCCCTGGCTTGCGCAAACCTGGGAGGGAGCGGGGAGAAGCGGAGCGGCGGCACGCTCAGGGGAGGAGGCGGAGCGGAGGTGAGCTGAGGCGGGTGGGGGCACAGGGAGGGCTGCAGCAAGTAACCGGGGGGCTGACCTCCTCTCTGCCTCCTCCCCCAAGTGCACTGCTGTTCCGCTTCTCTCTCCGTGCCTCCCTCTCAGGCTTGCTGCGCCAAACAGCTGACTTGCGGCAAGCCTGAGAGGGAGGGAGGGAGAAGCAGAGCGGCGGCGGCATGCTCGGGGAGGAGGTGGAGCTGAGTTGGGGTAGGGGGGAGGCTGCTGGTTTTTTCTCCGGGGGTGCTCCAGCCCTGGAGTCGGTGCCTGGTGGCAGCGTGTCTAGGTCTGACACGCTGCTCTGAGTGGTGTGTTAAGGGGGCCGGGCTGGGGGGTTGGATAAGGGGCAGAGGGTTGGGAGGGGGGGCGGTCAGGGAGCAGCGGGGGGTTGGATGGGTTGGGGGTTCTGAGGGGTCAGTCAAGAGCTGGGAAGTAGATGGGGGTCGGATGAGGGCGGGGCCAGGCTGTTTGGGGAGGCATAGCCTTCCCTACCCAGCCCTCCATAGCAAGTTCGATATAACGTGGTTTCACCTTTAACGCAGTAAGATTTTTTTTTTGGCTCCTGAGGACCGCGTTATATCGGGATAGAGGTGTAATTTGTTTTTTGTTGATATACATGTTCTGCTGTTCAGTACGTTGGCTATATATATTTTAACTAATTTAAATGGGAACAAACTTTTATATAGTGTGTGTTTTTTGTTTTTTTTTTTTAAAACGAGGAATGAAGGATTTTTATTTTAATGTTTGGATCAAAGACCAGATTTTCATCTTTAAGAAACGGAGTGCTTTACTCTCTTTATGGCCCCTAATTTATGAGCATAGGCAATAATTAAGAGTCTTGGCAGGAAAGTTCTAACCATGAATGTGATTTAGCTTTTATCAGAAATGAAGATGAAGAAAGAATTTCTACCTGTTGGGAGGGAAATTGCTGGAGTGGTGTTGGAGGGTGAGTCTACTAATCTACAATATGATCATCTTTGGGGGAGAAAAAGTAAATGGCCACTCATTTAAGACCACTAAAAATTGTCTGAATTGTACAGCCTTAGTGACCGGAGCGAATATTCACTTTGGCTATATGTTTTTGACAAACTATTAATGGTATAATATAGTAAAAATTAAAAATACTTAGACTGAAACGTAAAACCTGCAAATCAGTTCAAGGTAAACTTTACAGTAGAATTTATGAATATCTTTGCGATGTTGTAACTGACATTTGTAAAAGTGTTTGTTGCAATGACTAAGGCTTGGTCTACACATACGTTTTAATCTGCAGAGCTGTGTTGGTCAGGGATGTGGAAAACCCACACTGCGACTGACCTAGCTATGCTGATAAAATCCCTAGTGCCAGATGCAGCTATGTTTGCTGAAGAGGGCTTCTATTGACATTGCTAATGTCATTTTGAGAAGTGATGTTCCTATACCAACGGGAGTTTTTCTCTCTGTGTAGGCTGTCTATATTAGGGAACTACTCAGCATAGCTATGCTGGCATAGGCTTCGTAGCGTAGACATATCCTAAGGCCTGGTCAACATAGCTATGTCACTCAGGCATGTGAAGAAAAACACCCCTGTCTGACATAGCTATGTCGACTTAACCTCTGCTGTAGAAGCAGCTAAGTTGATGGGCAAATACTTCCATCAACCTAGCTACTGTCATTTGGGGAGGAGTGTTCCTGCAGTGACAGTAAAACCCCTTCTGTTAGTGTAGGGTGCATTTACACTACAGGGTTATGCCAGCATAGCTATGGTGATGTTGATATAGTCACCATAATGTTGATATAGTCTAACCCTAAGACAAAATAATTTTCAGGAATTCAAGATATTTCACTCATGTGTCCACCTTTGATGCATTGTTTAACAACTTGGTACTACAAACACTTATTCTTGTGCTTACGCATGTTTTGTGGGCTTGGAGCGTAAGTTAAATAATGTTTACATTCTGAAAATGAAGCCACCTATAATTTTGCCTAACAGATAAAATAGTCTGAACATGTTTGTTTTTGTAAGCTACTGCTAGTCTGTAGTATTCTCTCAAATACACAGTTTTCAATTCTAAATATTTATATTCATGCTTTTCCCCCCCTCTCCTTCATGTTGTATTTCATAAGTTGGAAGCAAAGTGTCCTTCTTTCAGCCAGATGATGAAGTAGTAGGTAAGTTAGTTTGTGCTTTATCAGTTAACTTTTGTTTCTTGAAATAATTCTTAAAGTGTTAAGGTTTATAATCAATGCTATCACTACAAATAGACATGTTGGTTGTGGGTTTTGTGTGTTTTTTATTTTTCATATAAGTTGGAAATAAAACTGTTTCAATTATCTTGCACTATAATAAAACTTTCCTGAGCTGAGTCCTATTTGAAGACTTTCTGCTCTGGAAATTGTCTGAATGAGACAGAGGGACTGATCCTCAGCTGATCTAAACTGTCATAGTGCCATTGACTTCAGTGGAGCTATGAAAACTTACAGCATCTGAGAATCTGCCCCACAGAGGTGCATTTTCAATCCATCAATTTGAATAAATACACTGACAATTTGTGCTGGTGGTACAGATTACATACTATGCCATACATGTATATTTTTTTTTAGTCTATTTGCATGGACATACAAGGTGGTATAATTCATTATTTTATATCCCTATTGCTGTTTTTTTAAAAGTTGCTAAAAAAAAAAAAAAAGAATCATACAGAAACTTTTAGTGACCTGATCTTTGCTCTTTGTCCTAGTTCACTGAGGCTTGTTCACTTTGACATTCTAAATCATTTGAACACACGTGTAACTTTAAGCACATGAGTAATCTCATTGACTTCAATGGAATTACTGATTTGCTTAAAATTACGTGCATGCTTGGGTGCTTTGCTAACTCCAGGGCCTTTTAAAAATAACAGATGGATTCAAGATGTTTTAGTTCTGCAGCTTTCATTTTTTAATTCACACATTTTGTCTCAGTTTCATGTCTCATTTTTTAAAAATAATTTTAATGAAAATAGACTTTTTGTTTAAAAAATTTTTTAAAGTGGATGGGAGCCCTGCTCTGTGACTTGTTATGGGCTTCCCACTAGGGAAAGTTACCCAAGTGCTAATCATTGTTTCCCCCCCAAAATAATATTAACAAATTTAAAAAGAAAAAAAATCTCCAGGTCAAAAGTCCTAAATCACTTGAAGTTTTTCCAGGATTTCCTGAATTTTCCTTTTTCATTATTAGTTTCAAATGTAGTGAAATAAAATTAATGTTCACATTTTCCATATTTACTACTTTAATAATAAACAATTCTTATGCTTTCAGAAATGATGTAGTAATGTACAGTTTCTAAAAAAAAATTTAGATCTGCCTAATCAACTAAAACATTATTTATAGCCCAGTGTCTTGCAGATATTTTGGCCCTGATCCTGTAAAATGTATGCACATAAGAAAAGCCATACTGGGTCAGACCAAAGGTCCCTCTATCCCACTATCCTCTCTTCCGACAGTGGCCAATGCCAGGAGCCCCAGAGGGAATGAACAGAACAGGTGATCATCAAGTGATACATCTTCTGTCGCTCATTCCCAGCTTCAGGCAAACAGAGGCTAGGGACACCATCCATGCCCATCCTGGCTAATAGCCATTGATGGACCTATCCTCCATGAATTTATTTAGTTCTTTTTTGAATTGGGTTAATTCTGAGTGGCTGGGTAGTCCCATTGACTTCAGTGGAACTACACAGGTGATTAATATATCACCGAATTGGGGCCATACGTGTTCAGTACTTTTTAAAATTGTGTATTTTATTGACCTTGTGATCTAGTTCATGAAACATAACTGGTCCCAATCACTGGAGGAAAACAAAGCTGAAAAGTACTGTAAAGAGAGATCTGTAAGGGTCAAATGAAGCTCTGAAAAGTTTTTGAAGTGGTGTGGATAATAAAGACTTGACGCTGATGTATATCTGGAGTAACTCAGTTGACAACAATGGAGTTACACTGGTGTGAAACTGGCATATAAAATAGTAGAATCAGGCCTATTTTTACCTGTATCTGGAAAAAGAGAAGCAGTTTGTATAATATTTTTCAAAATAGCTATTTGTTGATTACCACTTACCTCCACAGAACCAGAATTACACTCAAGGGAAAAATACACTTGAAAGTATCTTTAGTTTTATTTTCAAATACTGAAGTCTTTTGACTTTCCCTTTCAAAACAACTCTTTCAATTTATTCATCACATACTGAAGATGCTACAACAATCTGAAGTCCACTTAAGAAACTTTTCCCTACACAAATAGAACTTTGACAAATACATTTCCAAATTGCTGCTGCTATGTTCCTATCCATACTTAATAGGTAGGGGATTTAAAGGATGGTGGATTTTGCATAACAGTTTACTTGCCTGTGGTGTTAGTTTATGAACAAAATTGAACAGATTTTTAAAAACTATAGAATAGTTATCGTAGTGTCATTACTAGAATTATCCAAAGCTGCTTAGATCTTCGTGTGTAGTAGTGCCAGTGTGTGCTTCTCCCTGAGGTTAACAAATGAAATAGATTGGGTCTGATACTGTAGCCCTTATTTATAAATCAGTCATTAATCATGCAGTAAATACCACTGAGTTCATTGGTACTATTCCCAGGAGTAAAGGTTGCAAGAATGAGTTCATGGTCTGTATATGACCATAAGCATACCAATTATTGAATTATTTTAATCTTAAAATCTAAGAGTTTATACTTGGAAGAGGACTGTCTCCTTTTTTCTTTTTAATTTGATTGAATTTTTCATATGAAAATAAGAGACTGATGACAGTGACTAGATTAAGTAGGTAAAATCATATAAATCGGAATATATTACACAGAGAAAGAGAATATTCTGCTAAGATATCTATCTTTTTAGAGCAGTAGTTAAATGTAAGACCAAGAATGCTAGATTGGCCTTTTATTAAATAAATGGGACTTGTGAAGGGGGGAATTTTGGCAGCTACTAAACCTGAGCAATATTTAATTAGAGAAGTGTCTCGATAATGAGTTTCAGTCATGTACAAGCACCATAGCTGAAGGCATATGTGAAAACAGCTTCCTGTTTAAAAACTTGATGTTAATACCTACCAATCAATAGAAACTTGTACTAAATTGATGTTGCCCCATGTCCACGATGCTTTCAACATCTGACCCTATCTGGGCCCTCCTGCGGTGTGAGATCTCTCTTCTTCCTGTAATGTCTAATGCACTCAGGTAGAGTCAAAAGAGGAGTGCTCATCACAGACACCACAGAAGCAGATAAACAGTGTGAGATGAGTTCATTCGTGAGCAGACGAGGAGCTAAAGTACCATCAGCAGAATACCACTTTATCATCCAGAAAAGAAAATGCTGGAGTACCACTTTGAACATGTGGCACCATTGAATCATTTGTCTTTACCTAAAGCGTTGTAATAATCCAGACTGATGCTTTCAACTGCATTATATAGAAATGAGAAGAAGAACTGTGCTGTAGATAAAGCTGCACTAATGATTCATCTGGGAACACTCAACTTATTTCATTTGTAATATACACTTGCATTAAAGTTTTGTTTTGTTTTTGCTGAAAATTTTCAGGAATCTTGCCCCTGGATTCGGAAGAGTCTGGTCTCTGTGAAGTTGCTGTAATTCATGAGCATTATTTGGGTAAGTAGATCATGACACTTAATATTTAAGAGGATTATAGATGTAAAACCCAAAGTAGTCTCTTATAGACAGCCAGTGTGTTGGAACCATTGCTCTGTTTATGTATAATAGCAGCACTCAGATGTCCCATTATCTACTCCGCCTTTCATAGAAACCTTGACTACAGTGTACTCGGACTCTTTGAACAACAGCAGCAATGACATAATGTTCTGACTCAAGTACACAAGCTGACTCATCTCTTATTTCACCTAACTTTCCTCATTGCTTCACTTTTCTTTTCCCACTGATTTACCCTACCTACCCCACAGATAAACATTTTGAAAAACAACTTCCACTCTTGCTTATTACCTTCTCTCCTAGCCTTGACCTCTGATCCTGAATCATCATTGCTTTAGGATGAAAGGAACACCTGGAATGTATGCTAACAGACTAGAGTGGGATTCCAAAGGAAAACATGGTATTGTAGATTACACCAACATTTCCTTCTTTGGGTTCTGTTTGCCTGGAGGCAGCATTGTCTAGTGGATAGTGACTGGACTGGAAGTCAAAACACTTGGATTCCATTTCTGGCTCTGCCACAACCTGTTGGTTAGTGAAATGACTTGCTCAAGGTATCTATCTTGAAGAAATTGTATCCTAACAATTTTTCTATTCTTCTGACTCCATCCATGGAGAAACAAACATTAGCCGCTCTGCGGGGTAGGGGTTCTTTAAAGGATAATGTAAACTTGTTTATACTGACACCAAACCCCCTACTCCACTTTAACTGTGTAAATTATTCTGAGGAAAATAGTTTCCCTGATCCCTATGTACTGGATGTAACCAAGTAGAGTGTTATCTAGGTTAGATCACTTTAAGGTTAAATCCCCTCCTGGTTATGATTCCTTATGTCTGTAAAACAACAGTCACAGGTTTATGAATATTTAAAATAAAGGTTTATTACTCTAACACTTAAAACCACAGTGTAATGGGCTGTGCTCACCACTCTGGTGCTTCCTGCTGGCTGTCATGGGTATTAGCTCTGTTCGCCAGTGCACCCACCTGTGATGGTGACTCACCACCATCACTCCTACTCTAGGACCCACGTCTCTCCATGGACCACTACATCATCTTCAGCAACAGTCACATACTGTTCAGCGACTGCCCTTAGTGGGTATTGCAGCGAGTTGTCTGGCCACTTCCTCGTGGCCCCAGCATCCTCTTTACCCTTGCTTCAAGGCCTCAGTCTGCAAACCTCAGCAGCCAGCCAGAAGCTGTCTCCCACTTCCCCGATCCCTGCTGGCAGCAGTGCTTTGTCCAGGGCGCTAGCAGTTCTCTCAGACCTACAGAGACACAGTCCTTCCATCCTCCCTGGGCCCCTAGCAGAGAACTGCCCTCCTCTACTCTGCAGCTCCCTTTTTATATGGGTCTGCTTGGCCCTGATTGGCTGCTCCCTTCAGCCCTTCTCTGATTGGCTGCCTCCTGCACAGCCTCTCTAGGGCTCTATTAACCCCTTAGAGCCTAGTGTGGGGCAGGCGCCCCATCACACACAGGCTAAGCAAAATTAGGACTTATATAAAAGTGACAAGTATATGCTGGTGAACTATACATACTTACTACAGAAGGAGACCCTTTTAAGATTTCCTGTGTTTTCCTGTATAGTTTACTATGTGCAGTGTCACAAACTGACTCACACAGTGTCTCAGATAATCCTAGAGTTCTCCTCCAGTGCATCAACAGAGATATTTGGACAACCCAATAATCACTTTTTCCTCAAGTAGTATTGTGGGGAGAGGGGAAGCTATGCCATCTGAGTCTCGAATCTTTTGTTCCTCATATTTAAAAAGCAGTCCAGGTTCTACCTACACGCTGTCTTTCCACTGCCTCAGGGAGATGAAACTCACTTGCTTGGCATCACATTAGCTATCCTCCAGTCATTTGGTACAGAAGCTGATTTAAATGATAGGTTACAAACTACAGTCAGTAGTCTGCAATTTCACATTTGAGTTCCTTCAGAACTCTTGGGTGAATACCATCTGGTCCTGGTCACTGACTACTGTTTATCAATTTTTTCCAAAACCTCCTCTAATGACACCTCAGTCTGGGACAGTTCCTCAGATTTGTCACCTAAAAAGAATGGCTCAGGTTTGAAAATCTCCCACACATCCTTAGCCGTGAAGACTGATTAAAAGAATTAATTTAGTTTCTCTACAATGGCCTTATCGTCCTTGAGTGCTCCTTTAGGATCTCGATCATCCAGTGGCCCCACTGGTTGTTTAGCAGGCTTCCTGCTTCTGATGTACTTTTTTTTTTTTTTTTAAATTGCTATTACTTTTTGAGTCTTTGGCTAGCTGTTCTTCAAATTCTTTTTTAGGCTTCCTAATTATATTTTTATACTTCATTTGCCAGAGTTTATGCTCCTTTCTATTTTCCTCACTAGGATTTAACTTCCACTTTTTAAAGGATGCCTTTTTGTCTCTCACTGCTTCTCTCCTCCATTACATAAAGGTAATAGTGCAGTGCTGTTGCACATATTGTTATGTTGGCCAGTTGGATTCTTCCACAGAGTGGAGACAGCCATTTGCTGCTTTGCAGCAATCCTTCCCTAAGTTCAAATTAAAATACAAAATTAAAAAAATAGGAAAAATCGTAAGAGGTTCTCTGTACTACCTTTCACACTGAGGAGCCAGAAACAGAAAAATGTAACCAGTACATTCCCACTCGTGTTTGTGGTTCTATTTCAACACAGGCTGGAACTTATTTTTTTCTGAACTCATTTTATAATATATGGGTATCAAATGCATTTGCAGCCTTATATTTTACAGTGTAATGTTATAACCTGCAACAAGACAATGAAGAGCTAGAGGACAGGAGAGCAACGCTTGGGGATTCTACTTTCTACCACTGTTCTGCACCAAAATGTCACAAGTGTAATGGACTTTTGCGTTCCTGCCAGGTGCTGGGGAACCTGGTAGAGTAACAGAATTGAATCACTTTATAAACTAGGAATTCCAGGTCTAGTGATATTTATTTCTAACGCAGGTAATTTTAAAAGTTCAGTTGAGAATTTGACATTGAGATAGGAAGGTATCCCAACCCAGTTGGAATAAAGTCTGGCATAGAGAACAAATTGATAAACTAAACAGTAATAAGTCACCAGAACCAGATGGTATTCACCCAAGAGTTTTGAAGGAACTCAAATGTGAAATTGCAGAAGTACTAACTGTAGTTTTTAACCTATCATTTAAATCCGTTTCTGTACCAAATGACTGGAGGATAGCTAATGTGACACCAATTTTTAAAAAGCATTCCATAGGTGATCCCAGCAATTACAGGCTGGTAAGCTGTCATGGGATAAGAGGAAAGGTCCTCTCATGGATTGGTAACTGGTTAAAAGATAGGAAACAAAAGGTAGGAATAAATGGTCAGTTTTCAGAATTGAGAGTGGTGTCCCCCTGCAGTCTGTACTGGAACCAATCCTATTCAACATATTCATTAATGATCTGGAAAAAGGGGTAGACAGTGAGGTGGCAAAATTTGCAGATACAAAACTACTCAGGATAGTTAAGTCCCAAGCAGACTGCGAAGTGCTACAAAAGGATGTCACAAAACTGGGTGACTGGGCAACAAAATGGCAGATGAAATTCAATGTTGATAAATCCAAAGTAATGCATATTGGAAAACCTAATCCCAGTTACACCTATAAAATGATGGGGTCTAAATTTGCTGTTACCATTCAAGAAAGAGATCTTGGAGTCATTGTGGATAGTTCTCTGAAATCATCCACTCAGTGTGCAACGGCAGTCAAAAAAGTGAACAGAAAGTTGGCAATAATTTTAAAAAGGGATAGATGATAATAGAAAATATCATATTGCCTCTATATAAATCCATGATACACCCACATCTTGAATAGTGTGTGCAGATATGGTCTCCCCATCTCAAAAAAGATATATTGAAATTGAAAAAGGTTCAGAGAAGGACAACAAAGATGATTAGGGGTATGGAATGGCTTCCGTTTGAGGAGAGATTAATAAGATTGGGACTTCTCAGTTTGGAAAAGATACCACTAACGGGGGATATGATAGAGGTCTATAAAATCGTGACTGGTGTGGAGAAAGTAAATAAGGAAGTGTTATTTACTCCTCCTCATAACACAGGAACTAGAGGTCACTCTATGAAATTAATAGACAGCAGGTTTAAAACAAACAAAAGGAAGTATTTTTTCACACAATGCACAGTCAACGTGTGAACTCTTTGCCAAAGGATGTTGTGAAGGCCAAGACCATAACAGGGTTAAAAAAAGAACTAGATAAATTCATGGAGGATAGGTCAATCAGTGGCTTTTAGTCAGGATGGGTAGGGATGGTGTCCCTAGCCTCTGTTTGTCAGAAGCTGGGGAATGGGCAACAGGGGATGGATCATTTGATGATTACCTGTTCTGTTCATTCCCTGTGGGGCACCTGGCATTGGCCACTGTCAGAAGAAAGGATACTGGGCTAGATGGACCTTTGGTCTAACCCAGTATGGCCGTTTTTATGTAGGTAGCTTGGTTTAGAGGGAATGACTGGTTTGTCGCTTCTTCTGTTTTTTATAGAAAATGACTAAGGATCTAGAGATAAAAACTTGTTAACATAGTTTTTACTGAAATGTTAAGTCTTTACAAAACCTATTGCTTTCTTTCCCTCTCTGTTTGTTCTTTTTTACACAGTTCATAAACCAGAAAAAGTCCCTTGGGTTGAAGCGGCAGGGACCATTCGTGATGGCCTACGAGCATACACAGCTCTACATTATCTTTCCCATGTTTCTCCTGGAAAAACTGTACTAGTAATGGATGGAGCAAGTGTAGGTAACAATAACATCCAAAAGGCATATCTTTAAAATAATTTAGGAACAGATTATTTCCTACTCCTATATAGTAATTTATAGAGTTGTCAAGCAATTAAAAAAATTGTGATTAATCACGTAATTGTGCTGTTAAACAATAATCAAATAAGATTTATTTAAATATTTGGGGATGTTTTTCTACATTTTCAAACATATTGATTTAAATTACCACACAGAATACAAAGTGTACAGTGCTCACTTTATTTGTATTTTTTATTATAAATATTTGCACTGTAAAAAAAATAAGAAATAGTTTTTCAATTCACCTAATACAAGTACTGTAGTGCAATCTTTTTTTTCATGAAGGTTGAACTTACAAATGTAGAACCATGTACAAAGAAAAAAACTGCATTCAAAAATAAAACAATGTAAAACTTTGTAGCTTAAGTCCACTCAGTCCTCCTACGTGTTCAGCAAATCACTCAAACAAGTTTGTTTACATTTTCAGGAGATAGTGCTGCCTGCTTCTTGTTTAGTGTCACCTGAAAGTGAGAACAGGCATTCACATGGCATTGTTGTAGCTGGTGTCATAAGATATTTATGTGCCATGTACTAGATTCATGTCCCTTCATGCTTCAACCATCGTTACAGAGAACATACACCCATGCTGATGACTGGTTCTGCTCGATAACGATGCAAAGCAGTGTGGACTGACACATGTTCATTATCATTATCTGATTCAGATGCCACCAGCAGAAGGTTGATTTTCTTTTTTGGTGGTTCAGGTTCTGTAGTTTCCACATTGGAGTGTTGCTCTTTTTTAAGACTTCTGAAAATATGCTCCACTCCTCATCCCTCTGATTTTGGAAGGCACTTCAGATTCTTAAACCTTGGGTCAAGTGCTGTAGCTATCTTTAGAAATCTCACATAGGTACCATCTTTGCATTTTGTCAAATCTGCAGTAAAAGTGTTCCTAAAACGAACAACATGTGCTGGGTCATCATCCGAGAGTTCTAGAACATGAAATGTATGGCAGAATGCAGGTAAAATAGAGCAAGAGACATGCAATTCTCCCCCAAGGAATTCCGTCACAAATTTAATTAACAGATTATTTTTGTAACGAGCGTCGTCAGCACGGAAGCACATCCTCTGGAATGGTGGCCAAAGCATGAAGGGACATACAAATATTTAGCGCATCTGGCACATAAATACCTTGCAGTGCTGGCTACAAAAGTGCCATGTGTACACCCATTCTTGCTTTCAGGTGACATTGTAAATAAGAAGTGGGCAGCATTATCTCCTGTAAATGTAAACAAACTTGTTTCTCTCAGCAATTGGCTGACAAGGTAGGACTGAGTGGACTTGTAGGCGCTAAAGTTTTTACATTGTTTTGTTTTTAATGGCAGTTATGTAACATTGTATTCACAACGTATTTTGTTGTATTTTCATGATAAAGAGATTGCACTACAGTATTGTAGGAGCTGAACTGAAAAATACTATTTCTTTTATCATTTTTATAGTGCAAATATTTGTAATAAATAATATAAAGTGAGCACTGTACACTTTATGTATTCTGTGTTGTAATTGAGATCAGTATATTTTAAAATGTAGGAAAAACATCCAAAATATTTAATAAATTTCAGTTGTATTCTATTGTTTAATAGTGAGCTTAAAACTGTGATTAATCGTGATTAATTTTTTGAGTTAATTGCGTGAGTTAACTGCGATTAATCAACAGCCCTAGTAATTTACTTTTATCAAGGAATTTACCCAGGAACATAGCATTTGCAATGACAGATTGGACTAATCAAGTCTGGTATCCACTTCCTCTATCTTTCAGTAGATGATTCACAAGGATAAGAAGGGGCGCCCCTAAATACATCGGGCCAGTTGTACAATCCTATCCATGTTGTGTGGGGAGTAAAGAGGGAATTCCTCCTTGCTTTGCTCTACTTTTACACGCTCTTTATATTGATCCCTCAACTGTAGATGGAAGAAAACTGTAGTTTGACCTCTTTCCCCACCACCACTTTTCAATTTCTTTTACATTGTTCAGTTTTGATTACCTGCCCTCTTAACTGCTGGTGCAGCTGTTAGGCTCACTTGAGCAAAGAACCATCAATGAAATATAGCTTTGCAACATATACAAGATAACAAGTGCTTGAAACTCCTCTCTAGAGAGCATGTCCTCCTTCAAGTAGCAACCAAATGCAAAGACTTCCTCTCTTCTACAGACATACTCCGAAATTGCAGCTGCATTTACAATACTTTATACACTAGAGCTGGAATTCAAGCTACAGCTGCTCTGGAAGGAGATTAACAATCTCCTAGAGTCTGATCCAAAGCCCACTAAAGTCTGTTAAAAGACTTCCATTGTCCTCAATGAGCGCAAGAGCAGACCCCTAGGGATCTGAAATACTTTTCCAGCCATATTTCATTAAGACAAAATATTAAGCCTGTTTCAAGGTGTCCTTCTTTGATAGCTCTAGAACTACCTTTGTAATAAAATTCTTGTTTTCAAACTACATTTCATTACTGTGGTTGTGGATAAACTGGTATATTTTTCCCTGCAGCCATTTGGTACAATAGCTATTCAGTTAGCACAGCACAGAGGAGCCAAAGTAATTTCTACAGCATATAGTCTTGAAGACGAGCAGTACTTGGAGAGGCTTAGACCTCCTGTGGGTAAGTTTTATAGTCTTTCTCACTACACTTTTGTGGGAACAATGATTTGAAATATATTTTTTCAGTTTGAATTCTATCTATTTTAACAACTGAAATCTAAAATCCAAACTTAAAAATAGTCTCATAGTGTAAAAGTTTAGTCTAATTTAACATAAATTTTTTTAGATGTATTTAATAGGACTTTTTGATCTTCACATCCTTTGTGGTGCTGGCTATTTCCCAGTACTTCTTATTTAGCAAAAACATTTCTATATAAGTTTAATGCCTGATTTTAGTCAGACTGCTTGGGCAGTCTCTTCTTATAGTAGATAACATTGCTCAAGAGTAGAGAGAAATTGTTACCTGACCATCAGTCGCACAGAATTCAATCTCTGTACCTGAAGTCTTTCCAACATAATCATGAGCCCGAGGTATAGTATTTAGCTGCCTAAATCAGAATTCCAAATTGAAACAAACTATGGGGATTAGTTTTAAGTTCTTATAGAAACAAGAGGGAGCTCAGTTTCATGATACTGATATAATTTCTTTGTCAGAAAATCAATGAAGTTCTGTAGTTAGGAATCTAATCCTCCAGAAGTTTGAGCCAGAGTCTTTCCATTGACTTCAGTGGGTTTCAGATTAGGCTCCAAGTGCATGTTCATCTGTCTCCTTCAGTTCCCAGTTTATTGTGACATACACTAGGATTTTTTGGAGCAAGGTATTGGGATGCTATTCTTGGGAGTCAAAAGATTTGTTTTTGATTAGGGGTACAGGGGAAAATAGATCTAATGTGTATTTTTAGATTTTTTAAAAAAGACAATATAAGCATAAAATCTTGCTTTTTCCAAAATGTGTAAATTTAGTAAAAGTTTCTCTTGATAGGTAGGTATTAATATTTGGTCTATATACAGGAAGCTGTTTTCACATGCTTTCAATAATTTGTTGACTAAAGACAATAGCAAAACAGAGGAAGTATGTTAAACTAGTGGGTTCTAATGTTAATTTCAGAATCGGGACAGAATATGAACATAAGTATGAGCATAATGTATTTCTAGCAGAGTACTGATGAAACATAAGAAAGAAATGTGTACTTACAGTAATCAGCTGCAAAATTTATTTTTATGCGTTCCCTGTGATGTCTTGTGTGATGTCATGGTTCTCTCTGAGCCTTCTCAGTATAGTAAATAGCAGGTGTTTGATACTGGACAACTTTCATATGCCGTAATAGCAGGTATTGGATAAATGGTGGCACCAAGTCATGAAAAGTGTTGCTATTACCCACTACTCATCATTAAGTTCAGTGGAAGCAGGAGGGAAGGACTAAAGACCTGTCAAAGGTACACTGAAACTGTTAGTCAGAACCATATATTGCTACTAGAGAGCTAATGTGATTGTGCTGGTCAGAAAGACTTGGTGAACCTTGTAATAAATATTGGGTTTTTTAAAATTTCTATAAACTATGGAGGATCTTTCGATTTTGTAAAATGATTTATTACACAGATAAGCCTGGTCTGCACTGGTTGAAAAATGGTTATTGCACCTTGCCGGCAAGAAGTGGGTTTAAACAGGATTGTGACTAACACATTTGAATTATAGGCTGGAGCACATTGACCTAAGGCAAAATTTATAAATATTCATTGAATATAGCACTAAATGTTATGTATGTGAATGAAGTGGTTCCAAATAACTAGACTGTCACCTCACATTTTAACACAATTGGTTACCAATCACCCACTTTTTAAAATATATTTCAAAATTATTTAACATCTATCAGTTACAGAATTTTTATTAGTTTCTTTTTATATCATGTTGAATTATGCTCTGTCACGGCATCATTGTGATTAATTAGTAAAATAAATAGTAGGGTACCCAAGATGCATCCCCTGAAACAACTGATACTCTAGCATAGTAATTCTCAACTGGGGTACGCAGGTCTTCCAGCAGGTACATCAACTCATCTAAATAGTTGCTTAGTTGTACAACAGGCTACATAAAAAGCACTAGCAAAATCAGTATAAACTAAAATTTCATACAGACAATGCCTTGTTTATACTGCTCTCTATACTATACAGTGAAATATAAGTACAATATTTATATTCATATTGATTTATTTTATACTTATGTGGTAAAAATGAGAAAGTAAGCAATTTTTCAGTAACAGTCAGGCTTGAAGGGAGGCCACTCTGCCTCACTACAATTCCTAACTAAGTGTGATTGTTCTTTTCATTTACTGACTCTTCTAAATGCCTGCTTCACACCTTCTTCTCTCCTTTTTTTTCTTCCTTAATATCAAAAAGGCATGAGGCAACCTTTAATTGGTAAGTTCACTTTGCAAATTTTAGTTTAACACTATTATGTGTTAAACATAACCCTATTATGGTTTGGATATATACCTCCAATTTTATTTGTAATTATTTCAGTTATGTTAATTTAAAGTGCAAAAACTTTACTTATGCAGCTTATTTAAATAGAAATGTTTGTTTTATTCTACAAGCTGGAAAAAAGTTTACATAGGCTACTTCTATACCCTAATTGTTCTTAATTTCCAGCAACTGAAATCTCTGATTTCAGTCTTACTTTTTTAACTGTATGGAAACGCTACTGCAGGGGTGGGCAAACTATGGCCCACGGGCCGAGCCATTTTAAGCCGGCCTGTGAGCTCCCACTGGGGAGCAGGGTCTGGGGCTTGCCCTGCTCCAGCCGGGGCACTGAGTCAGGGGCCGCGCCACGCGGCTCCCAGAAGCTGCAGCATGGCCCTGCTCCGGCGCTCTAACCAGGGCACAGGGTTGGGGGCTGCTCCATGTGGTTCCTGGAAGCCGTGGCATGGCCCTGCTCCAGCTCCTACACGCTCCAGTGGCCCCTTCCAGCACCCCAATGGGAGCTGCAGGGGCAGTGCATGCAGATGGAGCAGCGTGCAGAGCCACCTGGCTGCGCCTCTGTGTAGGAGCCGAAGCAGGGACATGCTAGTGCTTCCGGGAGCCACTTAAGGTAAGCACCGCTCAGAGCCTGCTCCCCTGAGCTTCTCCCCTGCCCCAGCTCTGATCCCCCTCCGAACTCCTCGGTCCAGACCCAGAGCACCCTCCTACACCCCAAACTCCTCATCCCCATCCCCAGCCCCACCCTAGAGCCCACACCAACCAGAGCCCTCGCCCCCTCCCACACCCCAACCCCAATTTTGTGAGCATTCATGGCCTGCCATACAATTTATTCCCAGATGTGGCCCTCAGGCCAAAAAGTTTGCCCACCTCTGAACTACTGGATAGTTGGTGCAACATAAACCTTATGAACACCATTTTCTTCAATAAAGCTTTGAAAAGAAAGCCAGAAAGCATTCTTTAATGCGATATTGTATAATAGCACCGTACAGGTTAAAAGCTATATACAAAAATGTAACATGTTAACCTTCACAGCATTTCTGTTAGGTAATTAAGTGTTATCATTATTGCAGGGTTATTTTAGATGAGGATAATGATGCAATGCTATGAAGTGACTTGCTCAAAACCACAAAGCAAGTCAATGACACAACCATGATTAAAAATGATGACTTTCCGATCATTCCTCTAGTCCAGTTGTCCCCAATATTTTTTCTGTCACATTTTCTCCCCCCGCCTTACCCACAATGGAACCTGTCCGCACCCCTCTCTCCTCCTCCCCCACCAGGAGCCCGGCCACGGTCAGGGGCCGGGAGCCGGGCTTGTGAAGTCGCAGGTGGGGTTGGGGGCAGGGCCAGAGCCAAGCAGGGGGCAGAGTGGGGCTGAGACACTCCCTATCCATCCCCCATGTAGGCTGGCCCAGGCCCAGCCACACCTTCCTGAACATTCTTCCACGCCCCACATCATGGGGACCACTGTTCTAGTGCATATAGCTCAGTGATTCTCAAACTGTGTGTTGTGACCCCAAAGTGGGTCGTGACCCTGTTCTAATGGGGTTGCCCGGGCTGGCTTAAACTTGCTGGGGGCTTCAGTGCTGGGCAGCAGGACTCGGATTACAAGCCCGCTTCCTGAGACTGAAGCCCTTGGGCTTCTGTTTTCGCTCCCTCACCCACTCAGGCTTCAGTCCCCTCTCCTGGGGTCATGTAGTAATTTTTGTTGTCAGAAGGGGGTCTTGGTGCAGTGAAGTTTGAGAACCCCTGGTATAGCTAACTACCTCAGAATCCTAATATAATCTAATTTTGATCACGGATAGATTTTTTTTTTTATGCTGTCCTGTCATAAACACCACTATATTTCATTTTGAGCTTAAATGCTGTTAAATATACTTTAGTGTTTTTGGTTTCAGTAAATTCAGTCACTGGTCTTAAATAATTTGGAGACTAGAAACTGCTGGATTTCTTTGCTTTGCTGCAATTTTGTTCATAGCTCATTTTAAAGAATAGAAACTCCATTTGCACGTGTTCTGCTTTGGGTTTAAATTCTAGATTCTTACTGTAACTGACCAAACTTCCTGTCCTGTCTAGCTCGAGTCATTGATGTCTCAAATGGTAAGACTGATGTGGCAGAAAGCTGTTTGGAGGAAACAGGCGGGCTGGGAGTGGATATTGTCCTAGATGCTGGAGGTTTGTAACTGCTACAGAATTGCTCTGCTGAGTGGTATTAAATATTTTTATTTTTGACAAATTGCAAAACACTTCAACTAAAAACACACCTACATAATAGACAACGATTGTGTGTCTGTTCTCCCACAATGTGCAAATGTACTTGTGCCTCTGCTGGGTAGAATGCCAGATCTCCTTAAGCGTATGCGATCATGTCACCCTTTAATGGAAGTATCTGATACTACTGCACAGTCATACAGATTAGTAATAGTTGTTAAGTGAACATTTTACTAATTGTTACTTTAAACAAAACTCCATAGACAGTTATGTTGCAAATTATTTCCCATGGACAGTATATGATGCTGAATGACTAAAACTGACTTTTTTGATCATTAAAAAAAAAGATATCGGGCAGGATTTAGAAGATGAATTTTATTTTAATGGTTTGAAATAACTGAAAAGGAATCAGCATGGAGGAAATTTGTACTACCACTGTTTTTGCTGTTTAGTGGATAAAGTAAGGACATAAATCTCCAATGCTGTCAGTTAGCACCTTGCATGAGCAATGAAAGCCCAGAGTGAACGTGAATAAACCTCCTGTGCTGAGAATACTACTTGCTTTACAGTTGACAAACTTTCTTACTATTTAATGGTATTTTAAAACATTTGTGGGACTTTCTAGAAAGACTTCCACTGAGCTCTTATTTATTAAAAGGAATATATATTACTGGTATTGCTTCATAGAGGTTCTGCTCTTGCATATATTTCACTAAAAACATTTCAGCTGTATTTAAATCACTGCCATGCATCTGTTTTTGTCTGTATTCTACAACACTGATTTGCAAACTGTGTATCTCAAAAACAGTTTTTCACCCCATTAAAAATACATTTAGAGTCAATTTAAGACTGAACTAAAAAACAAGAATAAGGAAAATGTAAAATGAACAAACCAGGTGCTTTTCAGTGAGAAATCTTCATGAGATTCTGTTTCTTATACATGCAAAACATATTTTTCTGATAAAGCGGAAACTGAACATAAAATTTATTTTGTTAGGCATTGTACATAACTTGTATTCCTTTTTTTGTTTTTTTAAGTGAGATTATACAGTAAAGAAGATGAGTCAACATTAAAACAGCAACTGCTGCCACACAAACATGATATCATTACACTTCTTAGTGCTGGAGGACACTGGGTAACCACAGAGAAAAACCTCCAGGTAAGGACAAAATACTGCAAGTTACTCTTAACCACAAAGTATTTTAGAACGGTCTCTCAGATGAATGGTCTCCCACTGCTAAAATAATATCAGTCAGTTTGTGCACACACAAACCTTGATTATTTCCAAGGCAGCAGGAAGTATTTATCCTGCAACAACATTAATAAATGTCTTTATTTCTATCATATAACAAATCAGTGTCATTTTGTATGAGCAGTCGTGATGGTGTAGAAAAGAAATTACTATAATAGCATGGACACACCATTATTGAAGGATTCATGTTTGGCTCAAAGTATTGAACTGATTTGCCAGTCATAAAGTACCATTTTTTAAAAAAATAATTACACTGTTGTGACTATTATGAATCAGTTAATTTCTGATAGATTTGGAAGGGTTTTTTATCTTTTAGCAGTAAATATAAATCAACCATCCACTAATCTGATTGGTTCATACCATTTTCATGTGAGAAAATGTATTGATGTTTCTATTAATTTGTTTAAGTTGGACCCTCCAGATAGCCACTGCTTGTTCCTTAAGGGAGCCACAGTCTCTTTTCTGAATGATGAAGTATGGAATTTGTCAAATGTGCAACAAGGGAAGTATCTTTATATCCTTTTAATGGTGATTTTAGACACTAACTAGTAATCTGCCTGAGGGAAAAATTATGAGAACTACTAGTATATTCTCTGATCTAACAAGGCACCTAAGCATATGCTAAATTTTAACCATGTGGTTAAATGTTTTACTACTTCAGAAACATCCTAACCATTGTTTGGAATATCACTTTCATATTCATATATATATATTGCTTTGACCACACTTTTTATGTAGATTCCCTCTAAGTGTATACACTATCTCCTTGCTTAATGTTATACACCTCTACCCTGATATAACGTGACCCAATATAACACGGGTTCGCATACAACACGGTAAAGCTCTGACACACTGCTCTGAGCAGCATGTTAAGGGTGCCGGGCCGGAGCCGAGGGGTTGGATAAGGGCAGAGGGTCTTGGGGGCGGTCAGGGCCTTCCCCCCCACACCCCCTCCAGGGTCTGGGAGGCAGGAGCTATGGCAGGGCACTTTTAGGGGCCCTGCAGTCTGAGTGGCCCAGGGGATTAGTGGGGGGCCGGGAGCAGCCCGCTCTGCTTCCCTTGCCCCAGCCCCATCCGTGTCACTTGGGGGAAGGGATCCCCCCAACACTCACCCGCAGTGGCAGAAGCAGAGCAGCCCGGCCCCAGCCCACTCCACTCCACCAGCTTCTAGACGCGACGCTCCGCTTCCCACCACAGGTGAGTGCAGGACCTTTTCCCCAACCCCCACCCACAGCGACATGGCTGGGGCCGGGGCAAGGAAAGCTGAGTGGGCTGGGGCCGCTTCACTCCGCTTCCTGCCACCGGTGAGTGCAGAGGGCGTCCTTTCCCCACCTCCCCGCACACACCAGCGGCAGGAAGCAGAGCACCGCGGCTGGGAGCTGGTGGAGTGGAACAGGTTGGGGCCGCGTTGCTCCGCTTCCTGCCACTGCTGGTGAGTGCCTGTCGGGGCAGGGTGTGTGGAAAGGGGTTGGAGCAGTCAGGGGACAGGTAGCAGGGGGGTTGGGTAGGGGGTGGGTCCTGGGGGTGATTAGGGACAGGGGTCTCTGGAGGGAGTAGTCAGAACAAGGAACAGGGGAGCCAAAGCAAGTTCAATATAACGTGGTCTCACCTATAATGCGATGAGATTTTTTTTCGTCTCCCGTGGACCACGTTATATGAGGGTAGAGGTGTAGTTATGTTCTTGAAAAATGCGACTTTCAGAGAAACTGTTAAGCGAATCCAGTTTTTCATAAGAATTAATGTAAGTGTGGGGGCTAGGTTCCAGGGAAAATTTTTTCACCAGACAAGACATATAGCTCAATCTCTCTCGCGCACACACACACGTTTTAAACAACTTCTAATCAGAGGATTGTCTGGGGACCTGCTAATGAGCTTCTCCTAAAGCAACCATGTTGATATCAATTGGGATAGTTCCCAGGGAATGCCTTGCTGCTAAATGATAAACTAGCACTCAGCTGAGCCCTCAAGGGTTAACACGTTATTGTTAATGTAGCCTCATACTCTAAGAGTTGGCACCGAGGGAGGAGACACAATAGACACACGGCAGTGGCTGCAAACACTTCTCTGTGGAAACTGAATGTGATGATGAACCCACGCTATCCCACTAGAGCGCACCACTCCCTTCTCCAGACAGTGCATGCACAGCTGCAGAGGCGCTGACTTTCCAAAGTGCCAGGGGGTGCTCAACCCCTGGTTCTGCCCCACGCCTGCCCCCCCACTCCACCCCTCCCCCGAGCATGCTGTGTCCTCGCTCCTCCCCTCTCCTTCCTGCCCATCAGAGCCTCCTGAACACTGAAACAGCTGATTGCTGCAGGTGGGAGGCGCGGAGAAGGTGGGGAGATTTGTTGATTTGTGGGGCCTGCCGGCAGGTGGGAACTACTAGGGGTGGTGATGGAGAACTGATGGGGGGGGGGGGCGCAAGTCCACCCTGGTTCCAAGCCCCCACCCGCCAGCAGGCAGCGGCCAAACAATGTTATGAGCAAACATTGCCCAACTTTAAACAAGTATGTTCTATAATAGATCAGTGATGTAACAACGAAACAACACGAACTGAGACAACATTAAGTGAGGAGTTACTGTACTTTGGGAAAAACAGAACAGAAAACTAAAACAAATATTTTGAAGAAAGTAAAATATTAGGGCCCAGATCCTCAACCAGTGTAAATCAGCATAACCCCATAGAAGGCAATGTAGTTGTGTTGAATTACACCAGCTGAGAATCTGGCACCTTAAATCAAATCTTGTCTATGCTTTTAGATAGTAAGGTTTACCGTATATACTTGTTCATAAGCCGAATTTTTTTAGTAAAAAAGGGAAGCATCAGAGAAGGAGGTAGGCTTATGAATGGGTATAGAGAGGGAGAGGTGGGACACAGCCCCTCTCCCCAACAGAGGAAGCAAGGAGAGGCAGCAGAGCCAGAAGGGAAAAGGCGGGGCCAGAGTCATTCTGCTTCTGGCCATGCTGCTCTCCCCCCCAGCTTCTGCAGCAGCTGCAGCTCTAGGGCTGGCAGGCTGTGGCCGTGCCGCCCGGCCCACTGGAGCACACTGCAGCCGTGCCACCTGGCCCAGCCCGCTGGAACATGCTGCGGCCATGCTGCCCGGTCTGGCCCACCAGAGCAGGCTGTGGCTGCGCTGCCCAACCTGCCGGAGCAGCTCCGGCCAGGCCAGAGACATCCTTCCCTGGCCCTCCCCAGATAAGGTGGGAAGGGATGGGGGGGTCCTGGGCTAGGGGTGGAGTCATGTGGGTTACTCCCCTGACCCCCAGCTTCTCATCCCCCGCCCCGCAAAAAATTCCCCCACCAGTTGCTGTCCCGGCCTGTTAGGGTAAGCAGCTGACGCTTTGTTTACTTAGGTTTACCTCCGTGCCTGTGGACGCTCAAGGTAAACAAACCATCTCAGCCCGCCAGCAACTTATCCTGATGACCTGGGAGCCAAAGTTTGCCGACCCCTGAATTATAGGGTCGGCTTATGAATGGGTCATAAAACTTTTCTATTTTTACTTATCCATCTTGGGGGGGGCTTAAAAACAAACCGGCTTATGATAGAGTATATATGGTACTTGTTCTCCATGCTTCTAGGCATTACTTTTTTCATCTACAGATCTTAACTGTTGCATTCTAATGACTAAACTGAAATATTTAATACCTCATTATTATAATTTTGTCTTCATAAGAACTGTACTTTAAGAAATTGTACCCTATTTGCAAATTCTGTGTACCTACATTCTGTTGAGCTGTGTGCGTGTGTGTGTGCGCACGCTGCTGGAGAGATGAGTGGCTCTTTATATAAAAAACAATATCTATACCTTTTGTTGCAAATTTAATGATGCTTTTAAGGTCCCTCCTTGCTTCTGCACAGCGCTGCAGATCATGAGATCTGCTGAATCATTTTTTGCAGTTCAGCAGAACAGGAATGTAAGGATTAAGTTCCTGCATTCTAAAAGGGAGTTAACTACATTGAGACTCTTGGGGCAAAGGAAGTCCCCCTCCCCCCAACTAAATTGCACAATAGTTTAACCAAAATTAAGCACACCAAAAGGCTTATCTACATGAACATTGATGTGTGGGGTGGGGAAGCAAGTAATCATGAATATTCTTTTTAAAAGTTATTTGTTGACATTTCACTTCAGTGTAGCTCGATTAATTTTCCTGATTTAAAAATGACTAATAATTCTGAGAAATACAGTTTGTGTTCTTAGCTCTTAAACTAACTAAACAAACAGGATTTATTTTGTCAGCTCTTAGGTTTTCCTATAATCAAGGAGCATACTTTATTTACCACAGGTTGTTCAAACAGAATAACAGCATTACCTTGAATTGTTATATAGAAACATTGAACATATGTATGTGATCTGGGCACTGTAAACATACTGCAGGAAAAAAAAATCAGAAGAGATCACATGAAGATCAGGTTGAAATGGCTTACATTTTGAATACTAAATTGATTACTCTTAAAATTGAATGAATCCAAGTTACGTTTTCTGGTGACTGACAAAAATACTGAAGACTACCACTATGACTCTGCTAGCACTTTGGTCGGTAAAACTTTTGTCACTCAGGAGTATGGGAAAAAACACCCCCCGACTGACATAAGTTTTACTTACAAATGCACCGGTCCAGACAGCACTGTGTCAGCAGGAGACACTCTCCCACTGACATAGCTACCGCCGCTCATTGGGGATGGTTTAATTATGCCAGCGAGAGCTCTCTCCCATCGGCATAGAGCAGCTACATGGGAGATCTTACAGTGGCCCAACTGCAGCAGGACAGCTGTGCCACTGTAAGGTCTGTAAAGTAGACAGTCTTAGTAAAACCCTCTTTTTCCCATTGTAATGAGTATTGCTGATTAGTTCAAATAAAATAGATTTCTTGAAAATGTGCACAGCATTTATACACTGTGCATGTCCTTGAGAATTTAGTAAATCCATATGTTCTGCTTCACATGTTCTTCTGCTCCCAGACTTGTCTTGATTTTTACCTCAGACAAATAGCTATCCATCATTCATACAGATTACTCATACCAAAACCTGTCATACCTATTCTCCAAAGAGTGCCATGCTCTGTTTAATGATGGACATTATCTGTATGGTGCTAAAGCACTAGTTACAATGTAAAACTTAACAGTTTTATTTTTAAAATTGTTATGATACAGCACTAGAACTCCTAGGTACTGTGGCAGATCAAATCCTGTTGTATTTGTTAGAGGATACATTCGTCTACCTGCCTTCTTTATTTTGTTTTAGGAAGCATAATTTGTAACACATAATCAAACGTGGACCTCAGATTAACTTTATTTTCAGTCTTTAAATCATCTCATCTAATCCCTGACCCTGGGAGCTCTGCACAGATGTCTGGATCTACCCCAGGCAAATCTAACTGCAGAACTGTGGACTTAAAGATCAGTCTTTTGTGTATATATTACCACCTTAACAGCCCTCTCAGATACGTATCTTAGAAGATGTAATGGAAAAGTTATCAAATAGTATTTTCAGGTAAGACAGAAGTACCATAGTGAAAACAAACTCTGATTGATTAATACTGAGTTTTTAACCTGAGAAATAACTATTCTTCAGAAAACTCTTGCCACCTGTACTGTCAACTCAAAGAACTACATTGTGAGAAATTTTACTGAATAAGTTATATGAAGCTGTTTATGGTCTATACGTGTGGCTAGCCTGCTGCATTACCACATGGAAAACTTGGGTCCAATTCTTGTTTTTTCTCTCCCTGGATCAGCACTGTCTGGAAATCCAACAGAGGCAGCACATTCTTTCCTTGTGGGGAGAGAATACCTTGTGGTGCTCAACAGTACCTGAATGAAGAGTATTGCTGGCTCTAAATGGAGATCTTTCTGGGCTTCCTCTGTCAGAAGAATGATGGCGTTAATAGAATTTGAGACTGCCATAAGTGGGGGGGGAAAGGGAGATCCCTCACTGCTTACACAGAGAGTGGGAAGAGTAGCCCGTCCCCCTGCCAAAAAGAAATTCAGGCTATCTTGAATTAAACTTGTTTCCTGTTTGCTTTACAGCTCTGCAGTTCTTCCAGGGATCCTAGCAGAGCTATAACATTTTCATTTTGCTTAAGGAGTAAAGTTGACGTTGTAAAATGTAAAGTCTACAGCAATAGTATTGGAATGTTTCTTATTGATCTGAGCATGCACACCAAACACTTCTGACAGATTGCTCCCTTTTAGGCCTCAGTTGGATGAACCAGTCCCATTGTATGAAGCCAAGGTTTCTATGGAAATAGTTCAGAAGAATCAAGCAAGAAAAAGACAAGTCATCCAATTCTGAAGCACAATTTCCTTGTTTCTAAGACTGCAAGACAGATATGTAATATATTTGATAAGTAAATTGGTGTGCAACTTCAAATAGTTCTGTAACTAGTGTCTGAAGATAGTGTCTGGGCTGTGAATGTTTTGGTACTGAGACTTTCAGTTTCTCTGTATCAAATCTAATAGAATGATTCCATCAACAACTCTAAAGAGATACCATTAACTTAAAAATCACATCTGTCTGATTTTTTTCACTCCTATTACTGTTATAAGTAACATCTAAGATTATTTTGGAGTTCAAGAAAAAATATTTTTTCTGTTTGTTCAGTTTTACTTTTTGCATTTGCTAGCACCTGAATAGTCTGCTTCAGTCTTTGACATACTCTTTTTAAACAGGGAAGAGAAAAATATTAAATAGGAAAATGTAGTAGTAAAACTAGAAGAATTGGTGGAGGGATTCTAGGGGCAGGCACAACTTGTAACGTTTTTTTTCAAACTGATTTGTTTTCAAGTTAATCTTGTCCCTTTTAAGATTTGAATTACTGTTTTATGACCATAACATCATACTTTTATTTAGCTATAAAATTAAGATAGATAAATGTGAATGAAAGATTACACAGATATGAGGTCAGTCTTTTGCTTTAGTGTTCAATTCATGTTTATGTTCAATGCACTTTATTGCACATTGACAGGTTTCAGAGTAACAGCCGTGTTAGTCTGTATTCGCAAAAAGAAAAGGAATGGCCCAACTTGATGATCACTTTAGATAAGCTATTACCAGCAGGACAGTGGGGTGGGAGGAGGTATTGTTTCATGATCGCTGTGTGTATATAATGTCTGCTGCAGTTTCCACGGTATGCATCCGATGAAGTGAGCTGTAGCTCACGAAAGCTCATGCTCAAATAAATTGGTTAGTCTCTAAGGTGCCACAAGTACTCCTTTTCTTTATTGCACATAGACTTGTTCCTTTTTATATGGCTAAAGAGTAGGAAATGTAAACTGGATTTCCATCTTTGACATCATTCCTAAAACACCTTTTGTGTTCTTTCCTTTACACCCTTTCACTTTTGCTCTTTAATCTTAACTAGTCATACGCTAATGTTGATGAGATCAGCTTGTCCAACACCGTTCTCCTTTCCACTACCACGCACATCAGCATCCATCCTCCAGGAAAAAACCTACAGTTCTTTCAGTGAGGCCTACAGCTTCCTTGCTTGTTACTGCTTGAGATCTGAAGCACCAACTGTTCTATTAATTTAAATATCACTGTTGGAGGGGATGGTTCAAACTGTGAGCACTAGCCCTTTGAAATCTAGGTATTACATTGTTAGATTTAATCTTGAGTAACAGTATATGCAGTGTTGTAGCTGCGTTCGTCCCAGGATATTGGAGACAAGGTGGGTGAGGTAATACCTTTTATTGGGCTAACTTCCGTTGGCAAAAGAAACAAGTTTTCAAGCTTACACAGAGCTCTGCTTCAAATTTGGGAATTATTTTGTTTTTGTTTTTTTTACCCAGACCTGAAGAAGAGCTCTGTGTAAGCTTAAAAGTTTATTTCTCTCACCAACAGAATTTGGTTCAATAAAAGTTATTACTTCACCCACCTTTTCTCTTGACTGTAACAGTATGTCAGTTTTTCTCCTCCCTGGGATTATCACATGTCCTCAGTAAATCCTATAATGCAGATTATAAGTATGAAAAAAATAAAATGTTTCCATTTATGATGCAATGCAAGCTTGAGAACAGGTGCTGGTTCATACAGAACATACACATGTAAAATTACATTAAGGCATTGATCTCTCTCATTTGAAATCAGTCTTGAACCCAGGATACATCCAGTAGTGTATTTTATTTATTCTCCTGCCACTTTCATTTCAGTTTCAATGCCTAAACATAAAAGGAGCGAGAACAGAGGGAATGGAAATAAAAATGTAATGACAAAACTGGATTCAGTTTAACAAAACTAGAAAAGTAACAATAAAATTGCAAAGGGGGAAAAAAAGAATTGAGAGACTTCTAGTTCCTAGAACTATCAGTCTGTTTGGTTTGTTTGTTTTTACTGTACTCTGTACATTTTAGCTGTTGGTCTCATACATTGGGCTGGGGGGAAGCATTTTGCAAATTGTTTTGGTGAATTTGAATGAACTAGGTCCATTGGATGACAGAAGAGTCTCCTTCTTGACATTTCCTCCACAGACCCACAGTGTAGGAGTGGCATGCCAACACATATGTCCTTGGAGACTTTTAAAGCAGTAAGTGACTGTGAGGGAGTATGTGCATGTCCCTCAAACCCTAAGTACAATAAACTGCTGATATAAATGCCCCACCCCTTTTAACTATCCCTTAGCTCAGGCAGGGGCAAACTTTTTGGCCTGAGGGCCACATCAGCGTTCCAAAACTGTATGGAGGGCCAGGTAGGGAAGGCTGTGCCTCCCCAAACAGCCTGCCCCCTCCCACTTCTCACCCCCTGACTGCCTCCCTCAGAACCCCCCCCCCATCCACACACCCCTTGCTCCTTGGCCCCTGACTGTCCCCTTCTGGGACCCCCCCACCTCTAACTGCCCCCTGGGCACCCTACCTCCTATCCAGCCCCCCCCCATGTCCCCTGACTGCCACCCCCAAACCTTTCCCCCATCCAACCTCCTCCTGCCCCTTATCCAACCTCCCCACCCCCTTACCATCCTGCTCAGAGCAGCATGTCTGGCAGTTGTGCTGCCTGGCCGGAGCCAGCCACGCTACTGCACTGCCTGACAGGAGCTCGCAGCCCCGCCACCCAGAGCGCTGGCAGCCCGGCCAGCTGAGGCTGCAGGGGAGGAGCTGGGGCCTAGGCCGACCCGGCCGGGAGCTCAAGGGCTGGGCAGGACAGTCTCGCAGGCTATAGTTTGCCCACCTTTGCCTTAGCACCTCCATCAACATGAGCAGTTATGAAATTAATTCATTCTCTTTCTATATGGAGTGTTAGCTTAGATATATTTGTATAGAACCTAAAATTAGTCTAAAGCTATTAGTGTAGCTATTATGCCAAGAGTTCCAAAAATACGAGCCTAAAGCTAGGCTCCTAAATCCCTATTTAAGCATCTGAATAAAGAGACCTGATTCTCAAAAGTGTTGAGCACCCAGCAGCTCCTGTTGTCCTCCCTTGAAAGTCTCTTCCACTAAAGAAGATGAAGGCTCCTAAAGGGATTTTTCAGCCTTGTCTAGTCTGCTAAGTCAGAAGTGCTGCCTGATGTGGATCTGGACACTTTCTTGGAGGAAGAACCAGTTTGGCTTCTAAGCTGCTACTTATACCACAGCTCCTGATGAGGCTGTCTTGACTGCTTTCTCCTCTCCTCTGAGGGGCAGCAGGGCCTTTTAAGACCTGGTAGGCAGAATGGCATCTGCTTTGGATATTCCTGTAGCAGCTTTGATCAGCACTATACACTTGCTTTAGTCTGTCCAAAGGAGCGCTGAATCCACCTGTTTCTGTGGCCTCAGTCTCTGAATGGCTGTAGGTTTTTTGACGTGGTGATAAAAATGTCTGCACTGGGTCTGCACTAGCTCACTCCACAGTGTAGTGGCACCAGTGCTAAACTAATGCCAGGAAAATCACTTGTGTAGACAAGGCCCAGGTGTGAAAGACTCCTCTCTGTTCTATCCCTTTAGATAACATTTCTGCTTCTTTTAGCATATACCATTCTAGTAAACCTGAAGGTTACTGTGGAAATAGCCTGTAATTAATAGCTTTGATATATCTTCAAATAAATCTTTCTTTCCTCTGTATTACTCTTATATACACATTTTTCCTTGGGCAAGAGTGAGCTGTCTTCCTAATATCTTTAAAGAGATCATCATTAATATTAGTGTGGGTTGGACTTTTCACTGGAATGGAAAAACTTGGTGCAGTTTGGAAATATAGTCTAAAGTCAGACAGAGAACTGCAGAAGTGTAACAGGAGCAGATGAAAATAGCTTGTGCTGGTGAAAAGTGGCACCCAGATTCTCCCTTTGAGTACCATTACGTATATGACAAGCAAAAGGAGTAGTAAACAGCTTCTACTTAGCCAGTACTTACACAATATTTGTGGTAGTATAATATAAGAACACAAGTGTATACCCTCCTGTTTTAATATCTGGTAGACCATTTTCCCCTCTACCTTTAAGTACAGCCTGTTTCCCTTGGTGCTTGATGAGGTAGGAGACCTTCCTTTTTTCTAAAGCTTGATTAGGCTCACATGCCGCCCATCTTGTTTGAAGCATTTGGAATTTGCCAGACTCCCATCATCGGATAAATACAGCTATGCCAACCATTTTATTTACATATCGGATAAATGCAGGATTGTTGCAAAACAGCATCTTGGTACTTTTAGTGATTTTTTTTCCCTCCCAGTGTTGACATCAGTCCTGCAGCACTCCCTGCAGGTCAAAAGCGTAAATGTATAGACATTGATTCCAGTTTGAAATTGCAAATTAAAAAAAAAAAATCATTCTGTTTATATTTTAAATGACCCCTTTGTGAACACTTTTTGCAATGAAAGAAAAGAGTTGTCGCTCCCACCTCAGGACATGACTGGTGTGAGATATAGGTGTGTGGTACTAACAAGATGTGCATAGTGAGTAGTAGTTGTAGGCGTGCGGGTTTGGCATAAGGTACACGTGTGTGTGGTGTATGTACACTGTGCAGATGGTATACGTATGGCTGGGTCAGAGAAGTGAGGCGCACATAGGGTGTGAGTATAAAATGCACGTAAATGTCCTGGGTGGATGCAAGATTCAAATTACAGGGTATACTGTACACCTTACCCCCAGCCACTGTTCTGGGCGCCAGGGTTTAAGCTTTAATTCGTTTAGAAAAGCATCGACTGGATGCAAAGAAAACTTTCAAACGTGAACCAAATGTTACCGACGCGGGGGCGTCCGCCGCCGCTGGGAGGCAGCGCTGGGGGAAGTGAGAGTCGCCGCTCGCGTCAGCCCCGGGCGTGGCCGGGGGAGGCTCGGAGGCGCCGGTCCGCCCCGGGGCGGGGCTCGCCGCTTTGCGCGCCAGAATTCGGAGCCCGGGTCCCGCCGCCAGCGCCCGGCCCGGCCCCGCCATGTGCGCCGCGGTGCCCGGCTACTCGCCCGGCTTCAAGAGGCCGCCGGAGACGCTGCGGCTGAAGCGGAAAAGGGCCCGGAGGAGCGAGGCCGCCTCCCCGCCCTGCCCCCGGGCGGACCCAGCCCCGGCCCCCACCCCTCGCCCTTTCCCCAGACCCGGGCGGCGCAATCCCTTCTCCAGCCTGGACAACGCGCCGCGCCCCGGCACCGGCCCGCACCGCCCCCCGGGCTTCCCCGCGCTGCAGGAGCCACGGCCCCCGCCGGGGAGCCGGACCCCCAAACACCCCCTCTGGCAGGTACCGACCCGCCCGCGCTACAGGGCCCCCGCCCCCAGGGGCTTGGCTGGGTGGGGTCGGGTTTGCTCCCCAGGCCCCGCTAGCAGACGGGGGAGCGGGGAGCGCTGAGAGGGCCAGTGTGGTCGAGTGGACGCAGCAGTGGGCTGGGACTCAGGAGCCCGGGGTTGTGTTCCTGGTCACTGCACCCCGCTGAGCTTTGAGTCGTCCCCCCCACTACCAGCTGGGGTGGTCGGCTGACCTTTGCAAAGCCCTTTGGGTAGGTCTACAATGCCGTAGAAGACCCCTAGTAGGGTGACGGGCTCCCCGGCCTCAGGCTGCTGGGGCTACACGATTGCGGTGTAGACGCTTGAGCTGGAGCCCAGGCTCTGAAACCTGGTCTGGGGAGGGTGTCCCAGAGGCTGAGCTCCAGCCCAAGCCCGAAACATCCCCACTGCAATTTTGTAGCCCCTTAATCTGAGTCCTGCCAGCCTGAGTCAGCTGACGCAGGCCAGGTGTGGCTGTGCGACTGGTCTCTTATGGCTGTGTTGACGCACCATTTGAGATCTGCAGATAAAAAGAGC